CTAGCTCTATTGTGATATACTTATGTTCCTTACTCTAAATAAACTTTTAAGCTCATTACAACCTCACAGACACACACACACACACACACACACAAACACACACAAACCACTACAATATACTGAACTCCTTTGCTAAATTTTTGTAGACGACAAAATTATTAATTAACATTTGACACAAGATTGTCCATGAGTCAGAGGCAATACATTTTTACTGCTTCTTTTACCTCGGCAAGCGAACAACAATGGTGTCAGCATTTTATATATGCCTATTTCGCCAACCGCTTTAGGATTAGCAAACCATAGCTCTCCCCCCTCAACCACCCCGCCTCTGAATTAAAACCCCGTCATTCATCCTACCCCTGTCAACCACTTCAATAATGATGCAACCCGCCCCCCTGCGGAATCACGGTCTAGTACACCTTACCTGCGGGATTGTGATGATTGGCGGTGCGACACAAGATAATAAAGATCGCAACACAATCATCCCAGCCATGACGAACTCGCAGACGACTCTCTCGTACCCGAGTCTGTGGCAAGTGTCATTTCACACACTCCAAACTTCACGTCTTGGTGATGTCGTCTGAACAGATTAAAAAACCCCGCATGGAGCCCCATCACCCCTCTAAAAAAAAAAAAAAACCTCCGCCGACCTTTTTTTTTCTTCAGTTTAAAGACGCCTTGATAAGCAATCATTTTTTTTTTCTTAAGGTTGCCCTGTCAGTTCACTGATAATGACAGCGTTTATCTATCTCTTTACACATAGGCCGTGCAAACCTTGTTCCATTGTGTTTCAACTGGATTATAGTGCTTTAAACAGGATTATGTCGTATTCATATTGTGCATTAAACAGGATTATATTGCATTTATAATGTACTTTTAAAATGTATTTTATCGCTTTCGAATTGTGTTTAAATTCAGTGATCTCATAATATATACACATGTGTTATATAGCCAGGCGGATTCATTCTTTCTCACCATGGTATTTTAATTTACCTGTTATTTTTGTTTCGTTGGATATGAATTACAATTATAGTTTTTTGTTTATCTCGCGATAGTTTATCAGTTTCCGGGCTGTGGATTACAAAAGGCGTGTTTTAAAATTAAAATAAATATGTTCCGCTAATTAATGGAGGATTATGATACTGCATTTTCGAAAGGTGGATATAACTAAACATTTGTTATACTATTTATGTATCTCTATTGAAATGAATATTATCTTCAAATATATCGGACGTGCAAATACTCACATGCGAGTTTACATCCTAAGAATAACCGAATGGTAAAGATGTAGTTACTATTTAACCCATGCAATGATACATGCATATCCATCAATATATCTATATATCAATATATCTATATATGGCAAGTTATAATGAAAATACGTCTCGTTTGGCGTTATTACAGTGTTTTATAACATAACATCAAGTTTTCCAACTTTAAAACAAAACACAATGTCTAATCTAACCTTAATTCTTAATCCAATCACCTCTAATCCGCAAAACACACTAAAACAAAATTCATTGAACGATCGTATTGTTAAACGCCGCAGCTAATAGCTACTACGTATTGAAAGTCGATTATAAAAATTATATCTGAAAATCAAGCACTAACAAACAAAGCTAACAAAGTAATTGTGTTTAAACCCTCGTGTTTACGTGTCTTGACCTGAACACAGCGTTATCTTTTTCTCTCGTGTGTCGCCGTCTGCAACTTGTCGAGTTTACTCATATCTCAATTTCAACAATGGGTGGGAAGTGGGACGGCCATGATATGAAACAGCAGGACGGGGGTGTTATCCTATTTAACAATAGGACGGGGGTGTTATCCTATTTAACAATGGGACGGGGGTGTTAGACTCTTTAACAGTGGGACGGGGGTGTTAGACTATTTAACAGTGGGACGGGGGTGTTATCCTATGTAACAATGGGACGGGGGTGTTATCCTATTTAACAATGGGACGGGGGTGTTGTTTATATAACTATAGGACGGGGGTTTTATCCTATTTAACAATGGGACGGGGTGTATGGTTTTTTACAATGGGACGGGTGTTGTTTATTTAACAATGAGACGGGAGTGTTATCCTACTTAACAATGGGACGGGGGTGTTATCCTATTTAACAATGGGACGGGACTGTTGTGTATTTAATGATAGGACGGGGGTGTAGTATATATAACAATGGGACGGGATGTATTCTATTTAACAATGGGACGGGGGTGTTGTTTATTCACAATGGGACAAAGCTTATTTAACAATGAGAAGAGATTTTTTTTGTAAAACAATGGGACGGGGGGGGGGGGGGGTTAGATTATTTAACAATGGGACGGGGGGTTAGATTATTTAACAATGAAAAGAGATTTTTTTTGTAAAACAATGGGACAATTGTGTTATGTGTTTGTAAACAAAAGGACTAAAGTGTTTATTACAGTGTGACGGATGTATTTTTATATAGAAATGAACTAAACTGTTTATATATAACAATGGGATTAAGGTGTTTATAAAAAAAAAGGACTTGGGTGTTTATAAAAAGGGGAAAGGAAGTCTTTTACAAGGAAACAGAGGGATTTACATATAAAAAGGGTACTAAAGTCAATACTACAAAGAGACGGAGGTCCTTATAACAAAGCAGGAGAATGGAGGTATTTATACAAAGAGGACAGGCAATCCTTTATGCAAATAGAAAGGGATCTTTTAAAAAAACTATGCACTTTTACAGATCAGTAGTGCTATAGTAGTATAGGCAGTTGTAAAAAAAAAAGATGCCCATAAGTGTTTACTACGGTGGTGAGGAGTTATAAATAGAGTTATAATTATAGGTCGTAAACCTGTGGAATATAAACATGCTTAGATATCATTATGGGTAGTTGTGTGTAGTTATTATGTATCATTATGTGTAGTTATGTCCGGTTAACATATTCACATGTTAAAACAGTTCTACCTTAGTAACACTTAGTGTATGCATCGCTAATAATTATATATGTATGTGATTTAGGTAGTATTGTTAAAATCCATTATGAAATAGTGGTATCCGTATGCCTATCTTCAGTTTCTTCCAGATTTCTTTCTCCGGGGGGGGGGGGGGGGGCACTTGCTATTTTGGGGGGGGTGGGGGGAGGGAACATTTTCTGGGGGGCGGACACCAGTAAATGTATATGTTTTCTATATAAATTCCGTTTCGCTCTGCCTATCTTTAAAGATTTAAGAGCCCCTGTCACTTAATTTTTTACTAATTATATACATTAATATCAGACCATATGCAATTGATATGCGTCACGAGTATTTTATACCTATTTAGCAATTACATATTATTACATTTACTTACATCAAAACACCCCTACCATTTACCCAATACCACCCTCCCTCTAACATCCCCCCCAATACCATCCGCCAAATTCCATCCGCTCCCATCATATGTCTACTAATAGTCCCATCTTCTACCATCCTCTACCATTCACATGTATCTTATTTTTTTTTACCATCCCCAAACATAAAATCATCTTCTGCACAAAACCACATTTATTCTGATAACTCTCGAACTCACCAAAAGTTGTTTCTGATCCTTTACTGTAAAACGTCTTACATTTTGCTTCTAAATACACAACATTTCAAATAAAACAAGATTCATCCTTTACCGTACAACGTCTACAATTTTGCTTCTAAATATACACAATTTCAATCATTGCTATGTCTTCAAATGAGTATCTTACTTGTATGTATTGTACTCGATAAACATAATCACGTGCTTGTGAAATATTTACCTAAGATCGAACTCCTTGAAAAGTAAATGTGCGATGTGATCAGAGTGTAGTTTTACAAAACAGTTATTCATTCAACGGATTACAATGGATTACCACCTAATCCACTCACGAGCCAGGATGGATTATCTCGTCGAACGGACTCGCGCTCGACCTTTCATTTTCGCACTCGTCATAGTCCTCACGCTAGCGCAGGTCAGCTTCTCCAACACGCAAATCAGGTCTGGCAGGGGTTCGAACCCCCGACTCAAGCCCATCAACATCTTGATGTTGTCGCCGTTCGACACGCGGTTCATCTTTTCTTACTACCGCATCTACCCGGCCATGCTGATCGCGCTGGAGAAGGTCAAGGCCATGGATCTGCTGCACGGGTACGAACCTATCGTCAGATACCACGACACCATGTGTGAGGCTCAGGTAAGCTAATTTTTTTTTTTAAAGATTTTTTTTAATAAAAAAAAACTAAATGGGGACGGCGTGGTCTAGAGTTAGAGCGCTAGAGACTGCTAACGTGAGAGTATCGTGTTCAAATCCGGTTTGAGGTCAGTAGAACGTCCATGAGTCCACCCAGCACTGATGGGTACCTAACTCACGTTAGAGAAAAACAAAGATGGCCAGACATAGTGCTGACTCTTTGAATCGTAATAGATGAACTGTACCTTATCTTCTCCATGTGTCTCGAGCAAAAACGGGATAAGATGATGATGCCATTTGCCCAATACTAAATGGTTAGAGTTAGAGCGCTAGTCTGCTAACGTGACAGTATCCTGTTCAAATCCGGGTTGAAAGATTTTATTATTTAGTTAGGGTCACTAAAATGATCCTAGTATTTTATTATTTAGTTAGGGTCACCGAAATGATCCTAGTATTTTATTATTTAGTTTTGGTCACCGAAATTACCCAAGTATTTTATTATTTAGTTAAGGTCACCGAAATGATCCTAGTATTTTATTATTTAGTTTAGGTCACCGAAATGATCCTAGTATTTTATTATTTAGTTTTGGGTCACCGAAATGACCCTAGTATTTTATTATTTAGTTAGGGTCACTGAAATGATCCTAGTATTTTATTATTTAGTTTTGGTCACTGAAATGATCCTAGTATTTTATTATTTAGTTAGGGTCACTGAAATGATCCTAGTATTTTATTATTTAGTTAGGGTCACCGAAATGATCCTAGTATTTTATTATTTAGTTAGGGTCACTGAAATGATCCTAGTATTTTATTATTTAGTTTTGGTCACCGAAATGATCCTAGTATTTTATTATTTAGTTCGGGTCAACCACTTAATAAAAAAAAAGTAAATTACACTTTAGAGTTGCCACCTTTTAACACTATATAATGAAAATACCAATGATTTCCAACAGTTGGGCATGAACTTTGTCTTCAACCACTACATCAACAAAACTCTGGACGTCGTCCTCGGCCCCATCTGCGACTACGTTCTGGCACCCGTGGTCCGGCAAGTATTTTTCTGGAACGTCTCGGTTCTGTCCATTGGGGGCGGCGCCAAGGACTTCGTCTTTCAAAAAAAGACGCACTTCCAGATGTTGACCAAAGTTGGTCCCGTACAGCCGACGTACTTCAACAACTTCTTCAACAGCATGGCGCAGAAGTACGGCTGGGGAAAATTAGTAATGGTAAGGTTTGTTTCAAATATGTAAGTTAGTTAAAAAGTAGCACTGGTAAGGTTTGTTTCAAATATGTAAGTTAGTTAAAAAGTAGCACTGGTAAGGTTTGTTTCAAATATATAAGTTAGTTAAAAAGTAGCATTGGTAAGGTTTGTTTCAAATATATACGTTAGTTAAAAAGTAGCACTGGTAAGGTTTGTTTCAAATATGTAAGTTAGTTAAAAAGTAGCACTGGTAAGGTTTGTTTCAAATATATACGTTAGTTAAAAAGTAGCATTGGTAAGGTTTGTTTCAAATATATAAGTTAGTTAAAAAGTAGCACTGGTAAGGTTTGTTTCAAATATATACGTTAGTTAAAAAGTAGCACTGGTAAGGTTTGTTTCAAATATGTAAGTTAGTTAAAAAGTAGCACTGGTAAGGTTTGTTTCAAATATATACGTTAGTTAAAAAGTAGAACTGGTAAGGTTTGTTTCAAATATGTAAGTTAGTTAAAAAGTAGCACTGGTAAGGTTTGTTTCAAATATATAAGTTAGTTAAAAAGTAGCACTGGTAAGGTTTGTTTCAAATATATAAGTTAGTTAAAAAGTAGCACTGGTAAGGTTTGTTTCAAATATATAAGTTAGTTAAAAAGTAGCACTGGTAAGGTTTGTTTCAAATATATAAGTTAGTTAAAAAGTAGCTTGTGGTAAGGTTTGTTTCAAATATATAAGTTTGTTTAAAAATAGCACTGGTAAGGTTTGTTTTGAATCTGTACGTTTGTTAACAAATAGCACTGGTAAGGTTTGTTTCAAATATGTAAGTTTGTTAAAAAGTAGCACTGGTAAGGTTTGTTTCAAATATATGTTAGTTAAAAAGTAGCACTAGTAAGGTTTGTTTCGAATCTGTAAGTTGTTTTTTTTTTACTTTCTCTTATATACGAAGTATAGAGAAAGTATTGTAATCGTGCAAAAAAAAAATCGAGATTTTTACAAATCTCGACGTTTTACACCTCACTGATACGGAAAAACATAATTTTGCAATCTTGTCCGTATGTCTGTGTGTCTGTGTGTGTGTGTGTCTGTGTGTCTGTGTGTAAACACGATTACTTGAGTACCGTTACAGCTAGGTTGATGAAATTTCATATATAAGTATTTTATCAAAGTAGATCCGTATCAATTTTTTAGCGATTTCCGATAACCGGAAGTGTTACCTTTTCTACTTTGAATTTTTCAAAAGCCTATAACTTGAGTACTATTTCAGATAGATAAATGAAATTTCACTTGTAAGTAAAAGGTCTAATTCCCTACCTTCTGTCAAATTTTGAGTAATTTCCGTTGACCGGAAGTACGAATTTACGCTATTTCCGATTTCTCAAAAACGCACGTAAATTTATAAAGTAGGCCTACTAATAATATCCCGCACTATTATGCACATTTTATTAGGCGTTCACTTAGTGTGCAATTCTTTTTTTTACGAGATTCCATTCTATTATAAATAGTTCAAGTAATTAAAAATGGATTACAAATATTGTCTATGTCCTGAGTTGCCATCCCTTGTAGTTTTATATTAGAATATCCGAGAAAGTTTAAGGGAGATCACTCCCGGTTTATTTAAAATAGCACTGGTAAGGTTTGTTTCGAATCTATAAGTTTGTTAAAAAATAGTACTGGTAATGTTTTTACTTTCTCGTATATACGAACTATAGAGAAAGTATTGTAATCGTGCAAAAAAATCGAGATTTTTGCAAATCGAGATTTTTGCAAGTCTCGACGTTTTACACCTCCCTGAAACGGGTGAACTCTACTTCACTTGCCCCATAGACCGTCAGGTTTGAAAAGGCAACGCTACTTTCCTTTGAAAACTGTATCTGAATAGGGCTGGTAAGTAGGTCACCGACCAGTTCTATGGCTCATTAAAACCTGCATGAGCCATAGAACTGGTTGGTTACCTACTTACCAGACCTATTATCTCCTAAGTCGAGTAATGCCCTCTAGACCCGGACAAAAAAAATTACCCAATAATGTGTGTCTTGATTTTTTCCCCACACCAGGCGTACTACAGAAACGGACAAAATTATATTCACACAGACTTGTGTCATTTTGTCGCTGAATCCATCTACTTCGCCCGCGATAAAAAGCACAGCGTCGCAGTCGTTAAACTGGAGGATAACACAATAGATGACACATTGATCAAACAAATGGGTCTGGACACGGCAGGTTAGTTGTGAGCCTCTGAAAACCACCTTCTTAAAGATATATATATATATATATATATATATATATATATATATATATATATATATATATATATATATATGTATTTATATTCACATTTAATATGCATTCGTAAACCGGGATATATAGACGCACAAACATGTAATTTAGTTATGTGTCTAAACTACCTAAAACAACATTGTACCTTGAAAAATAACTGGGATATTGTGTCATATAATTATCAAACGTAATTACCTATGTTTGCTTTTTAAAGTTTACAGGCTATCTGCTTGAGTGTAATGAACAAGAATTGTATTTCTCTATGTATTAATTATACAATTTGTATTTACGTGCAAGTGTGACAACTGTATTTACCTATTAGTAGATTAATGCATCACTCACGTATAACGAAATTTATGTTTTTTTTTTAAACGAATGTCATTAAATATCAAATTATGACTTGTGTATTCGATAACTTAGTCTAAGCTATCCCCTGCTCTAGTTAATAGAACGCCTCTATGCGTTGTGTTCAATTACTAATATCTACCTCAGTGAACACTTATTTTATATAATGATTAGCAGAGTTTCTTCCAGGCATCTCTTCGGGGGGGGGGGGGGGCTTTGACCCCTCCCCCCCCCCCCCCCGAACGAAATGAAATTCATATAATTTATATAGAAAATATAATTATACTTTTAACAGTGTCCGCCCCCCCTCCCCCCGAAGAAAGTCTACCGCCCCCCGAAAATTTCAAATGCACCCCCCCCCCCCCCCGGAGAAAAAAAGTCTGGAAGAAACACTGATGATTAGGTCCGATTATATGGAGATAATCGAAACCGTGTCACAAGTTCCAACTCTAACACATGACAGCAACAAGTAGAAAATATACAGAGTTAGTTAAGTATAATCAAATATATGCGAATCGTTTACAAAAAGTTTTTTTTTTAAATTAGAAGAAAAAAAAAAACTACTTTAAACACAATGGAAAACGCGCGATAGAAATTAACATAATTGTGTTGCCATTTGTACAAAACCAACATAGATGGCTGTGACATGAGCTGTGAGTTTAAGAAAACGACCATCAAAACATGTTATTTAATTCTTATCTCGAGTTTTGTCTCACACCCCATCCTCTATAAAAAGAGTTATGTATTTTATTTAAACGTCACAACGTTGGCCTAGGTCATACCAGGTTTTGACAATTAAACCACGATTACTTATATTCACGGAAAAATAAATGTATGCACATCAAAGAGGATCGCAATTTGCAAAAAAATGATGACAACATAAGCATGAAACCACCTCAAATCACAACCACAAATAAATTTAACCCCCTCCCTTCCCCCCCCCCTCCCCCCCCCCCCCCCACGGAGTGGTCTAGCGGTGGAGACCTGGACGGCTAACACGAAAGTCTCGAGTTCGAATCCAGGTTCAAGTTAGTAGACCGTCCCTGAGTCCACCCAACTCTGATGGGTACCTAACTCACGTTAGGGAAAGTAAAGGCGGCTGGGCTTAATGCTGACCACACTATCTCTTTAGATGCCGAGGTCACAGAAACAACGTCAGGTTTGAAAGGGAAACTTACTTTACCTCTCCCCCACCCCCACCCACCAAGATGTTTCCACCGTCCCTTGCCCAGATAACGCCCGGGAGTCGGGCGACCTGTGGCCGGCTATCGATGGTGTTTGCAAGTCATCGATCATCTACAGCGTGGAGTGGTGGACGGATCTCCTCGGTGTCTCATACTCCGTCTTCTTGAGACAAATCCAGTGGCGTAGGGTGGTATAGAGGTGGGGTGGGATAGGGGTGGAGTCGGATATGTGTTGGGTGGTTATAACAGTGGGGTGGTTATAATAAAGGTGATATAGAGCTGCGGTTGGTTAGGGGCAGAGTAGTTATAATAGTGGGGTGGTTAAAGTAGAGTTGGGATAGAGCTGCGATGGGATAAGGGTGGGGTGGGATATGGGTGAGGTGGGATATGGGTGAGGTGGGATGGGGTGGTAATTAACAAGGGAGAGGGGGTATGGAAGTAGGAGTTGAATAGGGGTGGGATGGGAAAGGGGTGGGGTGGGTTGCAATAGGGGTGGAGTGGCGTAGGGGTGGGGTGGTTACAAGGGTGAGGTGGTATAGGGGTGGGGCGGATATAGGAGAGGCCAGGTTATAGGAGTAGGATGGGATCGGAGTGGGGTGGTTTAGGGGGTGGGGTGGTTATAAGAGTAGAATATCGGTAGATGGTATAGGGGCGCGGTGGGATAGGGGTGGGGTTGTTACAAGGGTGGGGTGGTTATAAGGGTGAGGTGGTATGGAAGTGGGAGTGCAATAGGGGTAGATGATATAGGGGTAGGGTGGTATAGATGTTGCGATGGTATGAGGTGGGTTGGTATAAGGTGGGGTGGTATTGGGAAAGTGGGCTATAGAAGTGTGTTTAGTTTAAGGGTGGGGTGGTATAGAGGTAGGAGTGGTATGAGAAGGTTGTTATGATGTGGGGGTTGTTTTAGGGATAAGGTGGTATAGGGATGGTGGTGGTACAGAGGCAAATGTAAAGGGATGGGGTGTTACAGGAGTAGTTGGTATAGGAGTGGGATGGGGTAGGGAAACGGGTAGGAGTGGTTATATTGGTGAGGTGATATAACGGGAGTTTTTATATGAATATGCGTTGTGTAAGGACTATATGGACTCGAAGGTTTACACAAAAATATTGTTGATATTATGGTTTACACTTGAGGCATGCTTGATATTTTGGTTTACTATTGAGCTATGCTTGATACCTTTGTTTCAAATTGAGGAATGCTTGATACTTTGGTATACACTTGAACTATACTTGGTACTCTGGTTATAGTTGGCATGATTGTTATTAAATACAACATCCAAACATACGTGACCTTTACGTTACTCAGTACAAAAACCATTTCCCTTATCCAAAAACAAAAACGGGCACCAAAAATTACCAATTACCCGGACCGAACCGGCACATCGGTCTCTTCACGTTGATGATTTACAACGCTACAATTCGCTGCCCGGACCCGGCGTTAATTTGCCGGCTGATTCCCGGCACAGTCCGACCGTCTGTTTCCTAATGCCGGATGGTGTCAGCCGCCCTTCCGTGATCTGCTCGCTAATGTGGCGCCTTCGGATATGAAAAGAAAACGGGTTCTTTTTTTTTTTTTTTTTTTTTTGGAAGAAAAAAATGTCCATGACCTTGAACTTTGTGAATGGTGCATGTGTTTGGTTAAGTACAGTGTAAATACGTCTTAGATAGTATAACAGAAAACTGGAAATATACATTATATATAGGCTACATAGTATTGATGTGTAGGATGTATTGCGCATAAACGGGTTGAATTTGCTTGTTTTATGGGAGCGTTCACAAAAAAAGTGGAAATTATTTGTTTTGTATATGGTACTGAAGTTGCTTGTTTTATAGGTGGTACTAAATTAGCTTGTTTTTTTTAATTAGTACTAAATTTGCTTGTTTTGTATGTGCTACTGAAATAGCTTTTATGTATTTGATACTAAATTTGCTTGTTATATATGTAGCACTAAATTTGCTTGTTTTGTTTGTAGTATTAAATTTGCTTGTTTTGTATGTGGTACTGATATAGTTTTTATGTATGTGATACTAAAGTTGTTAGTATCGCATTTGCTTTGTATTTGCTTTTGTTATTTCTATTTTCAAATCGTGTGTCTCAAAGATGTTACAATTATTGATGTAGTTGCCTAGTATGTTTTCGTGTTCAATTTTCAAAATATAACTTATCCATCTATCAAATCACGTACTGTTATTTAGACATAATGTACCAGCATAGAATATTTTTGCTTTCATATGCAAATTTTTCATATACGGCGCATGCGTATTCCGTTTAAAAATGGCTAGGCTGACATGTTAAATCAGTTTAAATCAAACTTTCAATGAATGGCAAACGTGACGAAATATCTTCTTCTACGTCACTTCAACTCAAAGTTCAATGAGTGCAGGCTTAACAGGGTGACATTTGACTTGAAAACGAACATTCATCCTGCCAATTGATTAATCTATACTCGACAGTCCCCGCATTGTTCCAGTAATCTGTTGAAAGGACTCCACTTTGGGTATATCCACTGACTCTAGTGCCGTCCTTAACAAAGCTTCCTACAGAAGAGAGGTTGAGAGAACATAATAGCTTGGGAAAATTGCTTCATTGAAATCTTCCAAAAAAAAATCCGATTTGTTTCGTATTGTCAATTTATCTAGGTTAGGAGTTTAAAAATCGTTGTGAGAGTGTCTTTATCCACACCAGATTTGGGATATCGACATTTCTGTACATTTAGAATTCGAAATAGTATCTTTAAGAAAGCCTAGGCATTAAGATATTCGTTTTGCGTTAACATAATAGTAGACTATCAGTCTGAAACGATCATTCAAAGCTGTATTTTTTTCGAATACTTTTAGAAAAATACAGGAAAAAATTTGAATAGCAGATTTCATAAATTATAGTTTCGACTCCTACATAAAAACGATTTGCGTAATCCTTTGTATTGGTGATTTATTTTTTCGGGTTAGTCATAGTCCCATCACTGATTCTTCATAATTTATATTTATTGCTATCCATAAAATCTTTCTATTATATGTAATAAAAAAATCGGAGCACATTTTTTGTACTAATCGTTTGTTCCGTTTTACTAAATTCCAACAATAAATGTATTTAGTTTATCCCAGATCCCAGCGAATAATCGCTTAGATTTCTCCCTTATCCCAAATAATTGATCCCTTCCAATTCTTAGAGACCCCAATAAATAACCCTTAACATTTCTCCCACACCTCAATATTTGATACTTTCCATTTTCTTTTTAACCCCAAAAATTGATCCCCTCTATCTCTCCCATACCCCAATAATTGACATCTTCTACGTGCCCCTATTCCCATTATATGATTTCCTATATTTGCTCCAGTAATTTTCAATAAAACTTCGCGCAAAACAACCCTCAAGAGAGCATCTAACCCATGCATCTAGCGACGCCCATGCTATCCAAACCTTTGTTTGA